CTTTCTGTGGAGCTAACTTGCCGTGTACTGAGAGCTATGTGTATGATGTGAATGTATTTAATAGAGCAGGTAATATACAGTATTTATTTATTATTGTTATTATTATTATTAGTAGTAGTAGTAGTATTATTAGAGTGTATTATTAGTGCTTGAAATTTTGGCTGATTTTATTATTATTATTTTTCTTAATTGCAGGATCTTCCTCCTCTCTATTCCCCAGCCCTTCTCCAACTGTTACAGTTTCCTCAAGCTCTGCTAGTTTTTATTCAAGGAATAAAAAATTCTTCATAATAGTAGGAGGAGTAGTTGGAGGATGTATTTTATTAGCAGTGTTCATTACCTGCTTCACTTGCTGTTACTGTTACTGTAGAAAGCAGAAACGTAAAAGGGAGCAGCAGCAACAACGACTGATAACACAAGTAAGAAATAATACAGTATGGGAGCAACTTTGAAAAATCTTAAAAGATGCAATTTTGATAAAAATCAGCTCAAACTTTCTACACAGCATTAAAACATGTATACATGTATGTACTTGTATATTTTTGTAAAAAAAATTGTCAAATACTTCACAACTTAATTTTCATTCATTTATAGGTACATGAACATGAGGAACAGACTGTCAAGCTCCTTGACGATGAAGAGGAGTCAGTCACTAGTGAGAAGACAATCGTACAAAGCCTTATGCCCAACAAACCTTACGACGAAGAAAGAATGAAGAAATACCTTGATGATCAGTACCGGAGCAGACAGTACCTACGAGATATAGAAGAGGGCGAAGACCATACTGAGTTAGAGCTGGGGGACAAGGAGGAACAGAGGCCTAACGGTCAACAGCCGCCTCCCCCTCTTTTTGTAGGAGCTCAGAAACAAAAGAAATCAACAATCACTCATTTAGCATCTAATAATGAAGAATCGAACATGTCGTTTGGAGGTGACAGGGTCCATAAGTTATCACCTTCAGCTAATCCACCTGGAGTAACAGTATCAGTGATGTTACCTCCTCCTTCCTCTCTCTTCCCTTCTTCTTTCCAGGATGATAATGGCTATACTCATCACCAAGACTTTCACACGACGAGAGAAGGCGCGGCTGCATTAAACAAGACCACACCCACCTCTACAAAACTCAATGACATTGAATTAGATTTGTTGATTAGCCCTGAAGATGAGGTCCCACCCATCACCACACCTACCACTGTATCAATGCTATCTTTAAATAATAATAACGCCCCATCAACTATTGGAGGGTTAAATGTTATGCAACATCCTCCAATTAACATTCAAACTAGTGATTACCTTCCTAGTTTTCCATTGCAAGCTCCACCTACTCATACACGCCCACCTACTGGTCGCTCAACTGAAAACACACCCATACCATCAAATAGCTCTTCGCTATTGTCACTAGCTACAGTTGAAGGTCAGGGGGGCGGTACCAGCAGTGGGAACGAGAGCAAGCAGAGCAAGGATAGCTGCTTAGAGCCTCCGGGCAGTTTTGAGAGGAACATTAGGAAAAATGAAATGTTGAATCAGGGACGTAGGCGCATGAGGGAAGGGTCCAGGAGAACGAAAGGAGGAAGGAAATCAAGTTCAAGGCAGTCGTTTGCTTCTCGTTCTCTCTCCAACAGAAGCAGCAGTTCTTCTGGTATATTATCTTCGGGCGGTTCCACTGATTCCGTGTTCTTATCAAATCCTTCAATCATTCGTGATCCTCCTCGCCATCCCTCTAATCTATCTCTTACTAAAACATCATCCGGTGGCTGTCCTCTGCCCACGGGGGCTGGTCCTTCAAGGACGAGGAGGTCCAGTGGGTTTGAGTCTGATCCTAACACACCGAAATCAGCTCAAAGCATTGAAGGACAGAATAAAGGAGGACTAGACGTGGGGACGACCTTTTTCCCTTTTCCTCCTACTACTTTATCGAGTACTATAAATGGAAGTCAGAACTCTTTGACAGCTTTGCCACAGAAAGACACGATTGCTCTGCAGCAATCTGTGGTTGGTGATTATATAGTTGAAGCTAATAATGTAACAGGAATGAACGTAATGTCTGATCAAACTAAATTTCCGATATCAGCAATCAATGCAGAGTATATTAGTGAACCAACCTGGCCTCCTCCTCCTTTCTCTTATCAAAAGAATACTCGATCTATTTCTCCTCCTCCTCTCTCTCCTCATCTTCTTTCTCCCCCGTCTATCTCTCCTTTATCTCCATCTCCTCCAACTTCTCCATTCTCTTTCTCTCCTCCAGTCTCACCTACTAAATCTTTCTCTACTGGATTAAATCAACTAAAACCAGCAACTCTACCTTCAACTAATGCTAGTAGAAGATCATCAGTGGAAGATACAAAAAGAAGATCCTCACTCCAGCTTACTCCAGTTCAAGAACTCTTAAATATGAAGAGGAATTCTCTTGATTCAACTAACGTTCATACACCATCACTTTCTACTAGTAGTAGCTTCATGACATTACAGCATCAAACTCCGAAAACTCCTACTACTACAACATTCTCCTCTAATTTCTCTCCCTCTCCTTTCTCTTCTCTCTCCTTTCCTCCTTTAACTCCCACACCATCTACTAATTCTTCGTTACCTTGTCCAGCAACTCAAGCTAGCACTTCATCATCATTATACTCGACTGTGTCACAGTTAACGCCATTAAAATCAATGGGTTCAGTATCAAAATCAGCGATGAATCAACCAGTAGGACCACCTTTGTTCTCTACACCATTGGGATCGCTATCAAGCTCAAAATCAGGAGCTTCATTTGGCTTAAATATGAGCCAATTTGGATCAAATGCAACAGGAACAGATTATCTACCTGCAGTCCCTCCAGTATCTCCAACAAGAATTAATTTAAAGCAACCATCAGTTGTACCTACAGCTCCTCTCATTAATGGAGGAATGAGAAGACAGAATACAGAGGAAAATACTAGCTACTCTAGTAGTGGAAGGAATGATAGTAGAAAGCAATCACTGGATTATGTAGCTAACAACAGTGGTTCTAATCCCTTTACTGTTCCTCTCTCTTCTTTCTATGCTGCTAATGTGACTAGCACTACTGCAGCTCAATCTAGCACTATTCTTACAAGACAGAGTCCTACAACTCCTTCCTATACTGGTATACCATCTCTTTACTCTTTTAAGAGTTCAGAGCAAAAATCACATCCAACTTCATCCAGCTATACAACCGATCATGCATACTTAAAGGTAGCTGATTCTACAGTATCTCAATCACAGCAGCTACTAGACAATGGAGGACTACAGTCTATTATAAATGATGAGTTGCCATCATTGCCCCCAGAGTTAGCAACTGTTCCAGTTACACCTACTCGTACTGATAGTGTTACTAGTGAAGTCGATGATTCATACAGTATTCCTAGCATGACCAGTTCAATACAAGAACTGATTAATAATAACCAGGAGGAGGAAGGAGATTCAATGCCATTTTCAATAGAGCAGTTTACTGATGAGTCACCATCAGCTGCTAGGACTAATGACTATATCTCTTAATTTATTCTTTTGTCATTTTAATTTTCTGCCTTCCCCCTGTTTCAGTCTTGATCATTTTTTGATTTATTTCTAATTTTAGCAAAACATAGATAAACCCGCCTCGCATAGCCCATATGGATAGTTGGCATGCCATAGCACACGAGCCACACCTCTCGTAGGTGCTAGCTTGCAAAAAATCATGATTGATCTTTGTCAGTGGAGAGCTAGAATAGGATCCTGGAACTGTTCCCGCCATTGGACACAATCCAGTGCTTGTACTAGTAGTAGTGC